CGTGACTCTAGTTTTTACAAAGTTGGCAATATTTTTCGTGATAGGTTGAAAAAATTAGTTTTTTTAGAGGTCAAAAATGAAAATTCAATAAATCTTCATTTGTTTTACCCTTCTTTATGTTAATAGTTAAGTTGATTCAAGAATCTCTGTTTTTCATGTTTATGACTCCAGAAATAGTGTGTCAAAATTTTGACTCAATAGAATCACTTTTTTTAAAAGAAGTTATGAATATTTACTCTAACAAAGTTGATGTAGATGGTGCGTTTTTTTAATGTTTTTTTTGGGGGGTGTATATTTCTAATTGTCTGACTAAACGCGTTTTCGAACACTGCCTCCGCAGCTTTCATAAAAAGAAAATATAGGCAAGCTAAAATAAGCTTCGGTTTCTTTTTCAATTCAAAAGATGAACTTTTATTATAGCTTCAAATTGTCTTATCTTATGACATGTCTAACAGTGAGTAACAGCTTTGACTTAATATACAGGTACTCTTCCAACTAAAGCATAATCAATACGTACTTTTAAGTTGATATTTGACTTTCCTTAACTTAAAACAGATGTGAATTGCATGGATACAATCATTTCCGAACAATGAAGAATAAAATTGAAAAATGGTACATTCTCTTTGTATTATTCTTTGATGTTTGTTCCGAACAAAAGCTACACAGTGTTTTTCTTGAAATGGATTAAATGGGTCAATGCTCAAAAACTTGCATATTCTTAAGTTAATGTCTCACGGTGTTCGTGCACTTACTGTGGTTGTTGTGTTTAATGAGTTGCGCAAATTTTAGAAATACCGAAATTTCAACAAATAGCTTATATCAGCTATATGTACGATAGTGGTTCCTAATTTGCTATTTAAAGCCCATTTACCCTAAAAAATTTGCGAACTTTCAAACTATGCATTTTGGTTCATTGTTATAATACTTTCAGTCAATTTGAACCTCATTGGAAACCACATTTATAAATAAGAAGATGTGGTATGAGTGCCAATGAGACAACTCTCCATCCAAGTCACAATGTATAAAAAGTTAACAATTATAGGTCAAAGTACAGCCTTCAACACGGAGCCTTAGCTCCACACCGAATAGCAAGCTATAAAGGGCCCCAAAATAACTAGTGTAAAACAATTCAAACAGGAAAACCAACAGTCTAATATATATAAAAAACGACAAACGAGAAACACCTATGAACCACATCAACAAACGACAACCACTGAACAACAGGTTGCTGACTTAGGACAGGTGCATAAAAATGCAGTGGGTTAAAACGTTTTAACAGGCGCCAACCTTCACCCTAATATGATTTGCATATTTGTCTCTATACCTTTATGTAGGCCAAACTGAACCAAAAGTAAGAAGTAAAATTCATATTCGTTTTTTCAGTTCGCTGTAATTAGGCGTGAATCATGACTTCATATAGATACATTGTAGCATTGAATTCTAATGAAAATCACATTTCGATCTTCACTGACCATATAAGTCCTGTCGTAATTTTTGCTTACCTTTAAGTCTTGTCTTGTCCAAAAGCGAAGAAATACGGGATAAATATCTATGTCCGTCAATTCTGATGTCTGCTTTCTCTCAGCACTGGTAGCGTGATTACATAATCCATAGTTGAAAATGATACGTTTATTCAGGCTAAATAATAACTGAACAATCTCTGAAATAGCTAATATTTGTTTTGCACACGCGTATAATATTTCTGCGTATTTGCTGTGCCATTAAAATAGCAAGTTGCTTCTTGTATTTTTGTACAGATCAGAGGTGAAAATCCAACATTCTATAATGCAAATAGATAGATAAGCTACGAGGCATACACCTATCTGTGCTGTTTCTCACCTCTCTAAGCTACGACGATTACTTTTTTTGCGTGAATCCCCTGAGGGGTTCACGCCTATATATTGGTATATTTTGGTACCTTCTATGGGCCATTCAGATATCCTCGGGAACAAGATTCTCGGAACGTCCCGAAAATTTTCGATCATTCATACAAGTACTTATCCATGTCTTTGATAGGGTCCCTCTATGAATAGCTAGGCTACCACGTGACATTGTATATTTTGACAATCAAAGTTCATGTGTAGATCGAAAAGTAAAAAAGTAAAAACTAGATTGCAGTTAACATCATTTATATATTCTAACCTATTTGCATTTTGACGGAACATATGCGTTATGTTTATTAAATATTAAGTATAATGATTACACAATTATATAATATATGCTTTGAGACGGTCCCTGTGCGCGTTGTCTGTGTAGTATTTAATACAACGTGCAATTGTGCATTGTGTTAATAAACCTGGGAGTAGTATACCAAGGCGGTATTCTTGTGTATACTAGCAATATATTGTATCCCAGAATAAACTGATTATTTCTTAACATTTACCACGTGATATTTTGTAATGCAGAAAGACAGTTAAACAAAACCATATTTCTGTCAAATATATTTAATTTCAAACTGAAACATAAATTTATCATTAATAGAAAATAATTAATAATGTAATATTATGTCCCATATGTTTTAACAGTGAATACATTTATGAAAATTGTTTTCAACATATGATTGATTTATTGGTTGTTCGTTGCTTAACGTCCAGTGGCAAATATTTCATGGACATTCAGGACGAGAAAAAATTGAGAATAAATACGATAAGTAGATTCTGTAATAGAGGCCGTCCGGGATGAAGATCGGGGAAAATATAGACTGCCACTGAAAAATGAGGATAAATTGGATAGGGACAGAAATTTTGCCTTGCAACAGGTCACCTACGGACCCCTCAAAGAGTTGTTGCAATGGTACATAATACGAACACTTCATATAAGTTGCAAGCCTCAGTGTTACATATCACATGGAAGTTGGACTTTCAATTTTTCCATACCACCTCTACCATGAGTACAGACAGCTTAAATAATGAGTATAAGAATAATTGAAAGCATCCAGAAAACAAAAATGAAGAAATGAACGAAAAATTAAATGCATCCAGATAATAAAGCAAACTGAGTGCTGAAATTAATATTGCGATTGGTATGTGCAATTTTCTGTAGACATCCGGTTTGCAGAAAAAATGGAATTCCAATAGGATTAGGACTTTTTATATTAAATACGAAGACAAATGATGCACACTCCCGAGTAATTAATAAAATAGTCGAGAGTTAAAATGTAAACTCAAATAGCTGTATACACTTTTCTATTTACAACTTAAATCCAACAACAATTTTTTTGGTGACCCAACGTATTGCTTTTCTTTTTTTTAAAGAAAGCAACTTGTTTTAAACGTGCGAAGCATACAGAAAATACACTGCTTCTTACCTCTAAGAAACCCTGGGATCCTTGATATAAGCTAAAAAGAAATTACAAAAATGACGATAAACTTGACCTTGCTCCGGTTTTAACACACACTTTACCTAAAGTAAACATTCCGAGCAGGAAGAAAAACATAATTCAAACACAGAAAGAAAATATAGGCGTCCTCGACTCAAACTGCTTATTAAAACAAACCATTGTAATTAAACCAATCTAGGTATTTAAATGACAAATTGGCGTCCTATTTGGTTCGGGGACACTTTTATAGTCCCTACTGTTTTACTTGCAAATTGTTTTCATACAATTTCCCAATGTATTTCTTCATTGTTTTATGCCTCAAGTAGAAAGTAAGGGGATGGAATTACACTGTAAAAAATTTGGGTCATGAATTTAAAAGTACAGTCAAGATTTTACTTCGTTAAACATTATCTCCCCATTACGCCACATTATTTTTTTAATCGTGAAAATGGAAGCCATTGTAGGGATGACGCGCTGTCAATTTAGCTCTTGAAAACCGATAAAATTATCCATATAGCATCATTACGTACTATCCTTATATGACAGTTGCATTTTAAAAGACAAATGTAGCTACATGTACTAGCTATTAAGCATCATTTAATGTACTTTTAGGTCTTTTGTCAAATCAACTTAAAACTATTGTCTGATCGGTTGTCAGGGAGAATTTTCGAAATTAAAAAAAAATTAAAATATTTGGAAGGGCAGAGTAAAAAAATTTTCAGATGTTAAAGACTAATTATCCTAGATAACACACACAAAAACGACTTTTAAAAGTTATACACAAAAAAGATCCATAAATTAAGTCTATCGTCAAGTGATTTTAGTAAAAAAAATGTTATTCAAACAAACCTGCTCTGTTATTATGACTCATTAGAAAGATATTTCACTTGAACCATATATTTTATTTTCTGGTACTGTGAATTTTTAAAGTTATTTTATCAACCTGTAGCCTAAATATATAAAAGAAAGCTCTTACAAAATGCACCAAGAGAAAAAATGGGGTCACTGTACATTTTTCCTGTTACAGCATGAAGAGGAAACATTTTCTGAAGATTCTTCTATAACTTAACCATTTAGTTTCTTGGTGACCTCTCCTTAATACGATAAGTTGAAAGAAAAAAGGAATACGACAAAATTATTCTTTTTTTGTAAAATATAAGGAATTATAAGGTAAAATCACATAACTTTGTTCAATTAAATGAAGATTATTATATGAAATTGCATTCCTGCATCGAAATTTGCTGACTAGATTGAAAATATAAAGACCTTTTCATGTTTTTTTTACAATTCAAGATGGCGGGATACTTCCATACCACGCTAAATTAAATGATAATTGTGTGAAACTCTTACTGTTTTTATATAGTATGTTCTAAAACAATAATGGATATGAAGAAATTGTTAACTGCAATATTGCTAAACATTGAAGTTCAGATTTACAAATCGTTTCACGGTTTAATGATATTGTGATACATGTAAATGCCTTGTTGATGACTTTTTATATGGGGATGGTAAGGGCTTTGAATATTTTTATCCCGATTTTTATACAAACAAACAAAAAAGTTTTCTAGGCAAAAAATCGATCTCGGAAAAGGTGTTAAAAAATTAATCATCAAATGTTTTCGCCTGGTGAGCGATTCATAAACTTCGGAGCTTTTATTTTTTATGCTTTTTATTGCTACAGGTTATTCACAAAATTTTAATTGTGGAAACAACAAGAAATGAAACAACAACAAATGGACCAACAACAAATGGAACAACAATAAATGGAACAAAAACAGAAACACCAACAACATCATCAACAATAGCAACAATAACAAAAACAGCAAGACTAACAACAATGTCAACACTAACAACAGCAGCAACAACAAGAATAGCTCCTGTACAAGGTCCGCATTATCATCCTATATATAGATACTGTAAGTTTAGGTTTGAAGAAGACAAACACCAAGCAAAAACAAAACAAAACCGAAAATACATCCAGACGTCAACATACCGCAATAAAAAGTAGACGATTGTCTTTATACATTGTAATACATTGCATGTCCAGCTCTAGATCGTAAAAGTCTAGCAAAATTGTGAATACATGTTCTGTCATCAACACAAAATTTTGAAGGACATTAACATTAAGATTTTACGAAAAAAATTATCGAGTATCATATCAAAATGGCACTGGTGTGAAATAAATTCAAAGAAGACAAGTTAAAACAGTAAGAAACCAATACATGTTCACAGGGAAATTTCACTCACATCAATTTCACGAGAATTTAAATTCATGTGAATCTCACGTGAAATTTACATGAATTTCACTTCAAACGAGCTTATACGTGAAACTCACGTGTAATCAGTTCATGTGAGTTTCACGTGAAAATCACATGATTTTTTTTCACATGAAATTCACGTGAATTTTTAAAATAAAGTAATTCAAATAACATCTAAATTTTCAAATTTAATTAAGATCATGAAAAATACCAATTTTGTTTTTTGAAAAGTTCACGTGAAATTCACGTGAAAAATTTCACTTGAGTTTCATGTTTAAGCTCGTTTGAGGTGAATCTCACGTGAAATTTTTCATGTGAATTTCATGTGAAATTCACATGAGCAAATTTTGCCTGTGTAAATATCTCAGAAACATTTTAGTTTTGTTCCAAACTGTAGATATTAACCCCCAAAATACCAGGCTTAATGCTTTAATATTGTTTAGTATAATCATAACGCGTATAAATAATTCAATCATCTGATAATATACTAGTCAACAATAGTAACGATACACAAGATTGCTATGTGTATTCAATTTCATTTCAAATGAAAATGTATTGCCTTGTACCGTTTATTTTATGAATAGTACATAAAGTTTGTAGGACAATTTCTATAATTGATACATAACATTACCAACATTAAAATCTGTATATAATATAATACTTAAGAAATAATTCATGCATAATTTTTTGGAAAGTTTCACATGGGCTAGGCCGTTATATTTGAATTTAATCACGAGCGTAAAGTATACGATTTCGCCAATTGATTTAAAAAAATAATGACTTTACTTCTCCTTTTAAACCGTGTATAGGACCAGCAGTTTACATTGGCTAAGTTAAGGTTATTGCTTCGGTACTACTTACATGATTTGTCATAAACTCCTCTTAAATTTTCCGTTGATGAATTAAGAAATAATTAAGAAACTAAGGTTCCCCCTCCCCTAGTCAAAGTTGACCTTAGATGAATTTGGAGAGTTGTCTCATTGGCAATCATACCACATCTTCTTATTCTTATACTTAGATGAATTTGGCCATTTTAATATTCCTTTTGGCCATATAGCTCTTCGCGTGTTTATGTTCTATGTATGGTTGGCTTTCAAATGTTTGGTTTCGAGCTGTCCTAATGAAGGTAAATCCAAAAAATCGCTTCGAACGAACAAAATTAATAATGATATTTTCATTTACTAGCACTGGGTCGATACTAGCGCTAATGAACTGTTAGTTCCTGGGGGTATCGTCAACTCAGTAGTCATTGCTTCCGTACTACTGACATGGTTTATTGCAAAAAAAAATTAAATTTCTGTTGATATGCCTAAAATTAAGAAATAATTAAAAAACTACTAGTAAGGTTCCAACTCCCTCAGGCAAAGTTGACCTTCGATTAATTTGACTATTTTAATATTCCTTTTGGTCATATAGCAGTGTTTATGTTTTTCAACTACATTTGTAGTTCCATTTTTTCCATAAATAATTTTTTTCAGTTACCACAATTTTTGTAAAGATTATTATATACGGTAAATATATAAATATATGTACAGGTAAATTTGCACAACTGAATTCCGAAAATTTCGAAAAATAATGTCGCAATTGATGCATTCGAAAAATAATATTTGGCGCAAATGATCATACATCTTGAAAATAGCAATTGGCGCAAAGGGACTGCTGCCATATACTGACGGCGTTTGCGAGGGTTATGAGCAAAATACTTTTAAAAAATATGTCAACTGCATATATGAACTTTATTCAAAACTTTATTCACATTTAATCCTTTGTACGGTGTCACAGAACACACACAGTTAAACTATATGCAATGCAAGCCTTCATGTAGAGTTATTCTACAACTTCGGTGTCCAACATGCTCCATCCTGTTAGCTATACATGTCAGATTTACAAATATCCGTTACATTTAGTAAAACGAAAATTAGTTGTCTACACCTGAAATAGTTCGAAGACATATGAATTTTGGCGCCAAGAATTATCATTAAATGATATGTAAATGAGTCGTCACTTCTACCTATAGCCCTGTTATAATTTTGAAAAATAAGTATGATCATTTTTGCACAATTTTCTTATAAAAGGTAAGGCTATATTGTATATAGCTACACAAACGTAATCGGATTTTGCTTTTTATCTGTATGACTCGTTTCAGTTTAGTAATTATTTTAAATTTTATATCCACTGTTTTGGCTGGAAGTTTATTTTCCAATAACAACATTTCTTCATGTCAAGGCAGAATAAATTGGCTATTCTCTGAACATTTGAAGTTCCCCACTATGTATTTGTTACCTAAACTATACAAAAATAAAACGTATTGCTTCATCTCGGCCTCTAGTAAGTGTTCTACTGTTAATCTTTATGTGCTTTTAACGAGTTCCTTGACAACATTTATGTACGTTTCGGCAATAAAGTTTATCGACAGATTGTAGGTATTACTATAGGCACCAATTGTGCCCCCTTAATAGCAGACTTGTTCCTGTACTGTTATGAATCACAGTTTATGGCCAAACTCAGTAAAGACCCGTCTAAATTCCATTTAATTGATAAATTCAACAACACTTACCGTTATCTTGATGATATTTTTTCCTTAAATAATCAAGAATTCTCTTAATACACTGCCGATATTTACCAAAAGGAACTTATCTGAAATAAATCAAATATTTGACAGCAATAACTGTCCTTTCCTAAATTAAGACATTTAAGTGTTACATTAGAAACTCTACACAAAAATTTACGACAAAAGGGATGATTTTTCTTTCCCTATTGTTAATTATCCTCTTTTGGACGGTGATGTTCATTTGCCACCGTCGTACGGTGTTTATATATCCCAACTCGTTCGCTATGCCCGTGTTTGTAGTGACGTTTTGGATTTTAATAAGCGTAATCTATGTATTACTGGTAAATTATTAAGTCAAGGATTTCCTAGATACAAAGATTTGGTTTGCAAGTTTGGCCCTGAAATTTAGATACGATCCGGGAAAACTTATCAATCCTTTAAATAAACTTATTCTACAAGGTTAACAATTCAACACTGTAATTAGATCTTTAAATATTGTTCTTATTTGTATAAATATCGATTTTGTTATCAGTAAATTAAAACCATACTAAAAAGTATTGTTATACACATATGCACTTTAACGGTACTACAATCAGTCGATACCTATATTTTGGCATTGCACAAGGTCATGTTTTTCTCTGATTGTTAATGACGTCTTTACACTAAATCCATTGGATGTTGGATGTACTGATTGATATTCTGGTAAAGATACATGATTTCTTTTATTAGTTGTTATTGGCTTTGAGCTGGCTGTCAGTAACTGCGAGTACTCTCAGATCTGTACATTGTATCTTTTTTGTTGTTAAGGATGTATAAATACCTTGCCACGTCTGGTCTCTATATTATTAGATGTTTTTTTCTGCTATGTATCGATCTGATGAGTTAAGCCATTTTCAACTGATTTTTATAGTTGGTTCTTATGTTGTGCTGCAACACCACTGTCCCAGGTGAGGGGCAGTGTTGAGCGCTCATAAGCATGTTTAACCCTGCCACATCCTTTATGTGTCTGTCCCGAGTCAGGAGAAATAATTAATGGCAGCCATAGATTTGATTTCATTAAACTATGGGTTTGGCATTTATATTTGATTGTTTTATCCCGAGCGATAGCGAGAGGTAAAATACGAATATAAATGCCCAACCCATGGTTAAATGCATACACATGATACTATTCCCCCCCCCCTATTTAAAAACAGAATTTCCGTTATGTTGTGCATACATATTTTATTGAGTGTGAACCATTCATCTTAAATCGACAACGAATAACTGTTTAGGCTTCATCAACACATCAATGTTTAAAAGAACACTCATTAAATACCAATCAATGATAAACCCATGTGACCGCATTTAAGATTAATGTGTATTCAGTTTGAAGATAGCGCGCAACGAACACGAATGACAACTTGTGGTAATGTTTTCGTTGAAGAAGTGTGTCACACCTTAAAATATATGAGCTTGGATTTCTGATTGTATGACAAAAAGTGTAAAATCCTCTTACTGTCTGTAGCTAAGGCGGGAAGCCGACATTTTGAATTCTGGAAGGTATTGGCATGTTCAGCCGGACAGCAAATCCCTGATTTGTCCGCTAAAACCCTAACTCAAATAATTCAGCGCCTTCTATCCACTACCGTTTCTCTAGTTAATTGAGTGATCGTAGTAAATCGGAATATAGCGACTGTATTATTCAGGTTATAAAAGCCTCGGATTTATTATCCGAGAATCAAGTGGAGATAATTTCCAAAACAAAAACATTAAATAAATGTCGTTGCGCAGTAAAATATTTCCCCGCGAAGGACGACCCGGTAGGAAATTGTGAATTTGTAAAATTTTAAGAAACCAAACGTTTCATGAGAGGTATACACGATGTCATAAATTTTTAAATTCTTTAAAAAACATAAGAAGTAAAATTAATATATCGCTGAAAAAGAATTTCAAGCCATTGATTTTCAGTTTTCGGAACCGCCATTTCTCAACTTCGACTGCCATTGACAAATTTTCAGCTCGGGAAGAATGGAAACATGCCTGGTTTACCTAGGAAAAATAAATGTGACTGGTTTGTTTTGGTAAACTTGG